AGTCAGACTTCTTGTACTCCTTGCGGTGGCAATGGAATAGAATGACAATCAAATTTCAGCTAGTGGAAAAATTTGGTACTGCACCCAAACAAATCTTATTGAAATCTCATTTTTTGCAATATGAACCTCAAATTTCCAACACAACTTGTTCAGATTTTTGCCTTTGATTTTGTAGAGTAAAACATGTTTTGGTAAATACATATTTCATACAAAGTTTTATTATAGTATTTTTGTGCATTTTTCATAATAATAAACTTCCATAAGTTTTTTTTTTTTTTTTTAAAGTTTCACTTTTTAAACATTTTTCACTTCAGCAATAATCTGCCAAGGGTCATCTTTAAAAAGAGACCGCTTAATTCAAGTCTGTGCTCCAAAACATTGAAGGTTTACGAGTTTAAGTTCGAAATTTCATTTTCAGGTCAATTCTCAAAAAGCAGTCAGCCACCTTTGCCTTAATTTATATAGCGCTTTATACAATACAGATTGTGTCAAAGCAGCTTTAAATAGTTTTGGAAAAAAGTTTGTCATTAATGCAAGAGGACAAAAAGCTAGAATCAGTTCACACACTTCACTGAAATATCTTCTCAACCTGTTTTTTTTTTTAAGATTGGTTGAAATTGTGCTTGCATATGATTTATCAGTATTTATTTTAAAACATATAAGTAATGAAGAATGAGTATGTGTCCGGTAGGGCTGCACGATAAATCGAAATGGAATCGAGATCGCGATTCGACAGAAGCTGTGATTGTCATGCGTATCTTTCAGTGAAGCACGGTTCTGTGATCAGCAGTAAATCTCCATCCGAAGGCCAGAGGGCGCTCTCGCGCTGAAACTCCAAATACGCTGGAGTCCAAATAAACAGAAGATTCAACTGCTTTCATTGATTCAGCGTGACTAATAAACACACGACTATGGCAATATACAGTTTATCCGAGTTCTTATTATTATAATTTTCATTAAAATAAAGTACATTTATAATGCAATGCCTTTATCACTGCTTAAATACTATGAAATATGTTGTGTGCCTTATTCTGTGTAAGAAGCCACATCTCACAGAAGGATTTATTTCAAACACTCGACTGACGTTATGAAGTGAGTTTGGAGTAAAAATGTTATTAAATGTGGTATTTTCACATGCTTTCAGATGGAGCAGCATTTACTACACAGAGCCGTAGTTCACTGAGAAGCTACGCAAACAGCTGTCATTATCGTGAACGATTTCTTCGATTTCAGAATCGCGCAATAAAATCGTCTGCGGTTTATTTTATTTTTTTTGCGTAACTTGTCAGTGAACTACGGCTCTGTGTAGTAAATGCTGCTCCATCTGAAAGCACGTGATGATGATTTCCTGCTGATTACAGAACCGGCATTACTATCAAAATGCACATGACAATTGCATTCGATTAATCGTGCAGCCCTAGTGTCCGGTCCTTTGATTGGTAATGTTGTTTATACAGTTACACTGACGCGTGTCAGGCTGGTTGTTGTTTTTAACCGCTCAAACTGTGAGATCTGTATGTCGTGTGTGTGCTGGTGCTGAGAGTGTTGCCTTGTGCATCTGAGTGGTGTGCGGTGTCGAGGTTTTTGTGCAGTGTTTTGACTCATACGTCTGAAATCTCACACCACACCAACCGGAGGAACAAGTTCTAACAGTTAACTCACACACACACACATGCAAGTATGCTAAATGCATCCACGGTATAGCTTTAGTATAGTTTCCTGATACTTTACTTTAAATGAATTTGGTTGTTTTCAGTCTTAAAAAGTAGATTATGTATTAGTGAAGACGTTGTCGACTTTCTCTTTCCCAAACGCTATTAAAAAGCGAGCAGCATATTCGAACTATCTGACATAAAACAGACACCAGGGATGCCCGATTTCAGCCGGCTCCTCCGGTTGCCATGACCACAAGCACAACAGCAGAAGTCTATTTAGGTCATTTTGTTCTATAGCCCGTCTGCCTCTGTGCGTCAAATTTGGGAGGATCTAAAAAATCAATAAGAGCTTTAGAACTCGTCTAATCAGTCATATTTTAATGGGCTAGTTCATCTGAAAATGAAACACTTGTCATCATTTACTGTCATGTTCTGAACTTGTATGACTTGTATGAAAATAAGAAATTCTGAAAAAAGAATTCTGTGAGAATGACTAGGTCTGGGTCCAGAATGGTGGTGGTGGTGGTGGTGGTGGTGG